GAAAATTCTAATATTACAGAGACATGCTTTTCATACATTTAGCTGTGTTCTGCTTTGTATGTATTTTATTTTATTTGTTTCGTGTTTCTTATTTCATCCATGTTTTCAATTATTAGACTAAATTTGACAATAAATAGTTTGAAAATATATTTTTTGCAGCTTTTAGTTTTTAATATTAATTTACAATATGGTCACCCAACATTTAACAATAGCCTCTACCTCAAGAGGTAGAGGAGCCAAATGGCTGGCTCACTGCTGCCAACTAGTGGTCAGAGGCTAAACTACAACATAAAAATAAACGGCTGGCAGGAAAGTTGACATTTTAAACCTTAATTAAAAATCGATACGGGGATTTAGAATATCGATACAGTATCGGGAAATGAAATATCGCGATATTTCAGTGTATCGATAGTTTCTTACCCCCCTATTTAACACAAGATATCTCTGCAAAGGAGAAATGCTCACTATCACAGATTTAGACAGATTTGTGAACAATATTTGAGAGAAATTATTTTGTGCACATTGAAAACGTTTTAGATCTTTGAGTTCAGCTCATGAAGAACGGGAACAAAAACAAGTGTCTTGTTTATATTTTTCCTCAGTGTCCATGTAAAACTGGCTGTACTATTGGTTTTACTCTTGCAAATTTAATGTATGCAGATGATGTTGTATTCAGTCCTAGTAGTGCTGATCTTCAAGAACTTTTAAACATCTGTTCTGATTATGGCATGAAACATGACATTAAATATAATGCTAGTAAAAGCGTTGTCATGATCAGTAGACCTAAAGGTGACAAAAGTTTGAATTTTCCCAACTTTTTGCTAAGTGGCAGGGCTCTAGACTAACTCTTTGCACTGGTTGCACCGGTGCACCTAACTTTTCCCTTAGGTGCACAAGTACAAAAGTTAGGTACAACCAAAATTGCAAACTTGTCGCAGTTAACACCAAAGTTTTATAGGTTCACTTCTTTTAAAGCATTGTCAATTGAGGCAATATTAACTTGCAAATAATTAGTTAACGATCTAGCAAAAATAAAGTTCTATATTTGAACCAGAATCACAGACATATAACTTACTGAAAAATATTTAAAATGATTCTATGACCTGAAATTTTAACTTAAACATCAAGATAAATGAAATAAAAGAAATTCTAAATTGTAAGTACAAATGTTTAAAAGCGGAACATTTTAAGAACATCTTAAACATTTCATGGTTTAGTTTTTTTTAGACTACACCTGCCCCTCAGATGGGCAACTCCTGTAGTTTGGCTTTCAGGTCCTTTGGCCTTGGCTAAACCAGAATGATGAACAGAGAATTATGATTAATAACAGAAATATTACTAATATTTATTAAATGAGAAAAATATTTTAAAAAAATGAAAACATAACATGAAAAAGTCTTCAGTTTAAATTGTATTAGTTGAATTTATGTATCTCTCACTTAAAAAACTAGGATGTCTACTCATAAAACCATTTTCAGAACCCGGAACGTAACTGTGGTGAAGCCGATTATATGTAAAAGCAGCCTGCCATACAGGTGAGCTTCCTGCTGGAATGATCTGCTGCTGGGCTCCCAGAGCAGAACCTGACTGCAAGATGGACTTTACTTACTACTGAGACTTAAGAGCAAGCAACCATCCACATTTAATTTCCACAGTAAACAACATAAAAACAAAGTTTTTCCGACTCTGGTTTGGATAAAAAAAACTAACAAAAAAAAAAACACACGGTTGATTAACTGTGCTCAAGTTCGCATATTTTTGCCACAGCCTGGTGAGGTTAGGTTTAACGTTAAGGTGTGAGGTTAGTTTAGGTTAGGTTAGGCTGTAGAAATAACCGGTAAGTGAATGGGAGTGAAAAGTCCCCATGAGCATAGAACAAGAACAAGAGTGTGTGTATGCGCGGGGTGTAGAGCGGAGCGCTATGTTGGTACTGCTAGACTGCTTTATTATGAGACATAAGCTGCCTTTCCATTGCAAATGTGCGCAAAACTTTGTCAATATTCAGTTAATGTCGTAAAACACAGTTTCGCAACTGCGGTTTTTCCATTAAGTAAGAAATGCTATTAAAGTCATGCGTGAATACGCTTGTTCTCGTGATAAGTCATTATATTACAAACATGGCGGCAGCAATGGATGTAAACACATAGTATATTGCTACCACGACACTAGCGCTCATCAGCAGAGGAGACGTCGGCGTCTTTTATCGAGGCTTTCCAGCGACAAGCCCCTACTTAGGTATGCTATGTTTTTGGGAAATTGTAGTCTGTGAGTTTACTACTTTATTTTACTACTTCTGTGATATTACTACTACTTCTACTTCCTGTTATCTTCTTCGTCGTTGTCTTTTTCGCCAGTAGAAACAGCCGGTTGTTGATCACGTGACTCCCGTGATGCGAAAAATTGCAGTTTTGCGAAAAACACCAATTTTGATACGGCCGAAATACCATCTCATCCTAGCGCAAAAACATCTTGTCGAAAAACATAATTTTTTTCAAAATTGACGTGTTTCCATTGAGCAAATTTATTTTCGAAATTCTAATTTGCGCATTTTCATGGTCAATGGAAACGCAGCTATTTAGACTCTTTGTTTCAGTGGGCAACCGTATCCCCCCTGCTTCCTCGAACGAATAGGCGCACCAGTGCTAGGGTTGGGCAATATTGTCAAAAAAATTAATCACGATTAATCGTGGTATTTAGCCGATAACGATTAATTTGACGATTAATCCCCCCGAGTCCCTGGACACCCTTGTATCCTAGTCACTTGACCAATTTATAGGGAGAAAATTTGCTCTTCGTAAAATCCTGTTCCAAATTGTGTCAAAATTACAGACTTCAAGCTGTACATCAAACTTTAAATTGTGTTGATAGATAAAAAAATTACACAACTTTTTTTTAATGTTGGTCATATCTGAATGAGAGAGGAGCACCAAGCAGTTAGTCTGCCTGGTGGCATTAATCGTATTAATCGTCAAGTGCCAAAAATTAATCGATTAATGTTTTTCTGACGATTAATTGCACACGATACGATTATGCCCAACCCTAACCAGTGCAACCGAAGATTTTTTAGGTGCATTTTTAAAAACATCAGGTCGCATCTGTGACCAAATTAGTCACACTTCGGTTGCCGCCGATACAGGCACTAATGACCTTCATGCTACAGCTCCTAGAAGCAGAATCTGCAATGGAGGGTTGAATATGGCCCATTCAGATTCCATGTATCCCGACCTCCCCTGAGACGTGACAAACTCTCCCGTAGGTGTGGGTTGAAGATCCCATGGACATGGGGTGTGCCATGGACAGGGGGTGTGCCATGGACATGGGGTGTGCCATGGATAGGGGGTGTGCCATGGACAGGGGGTGTGCCATGGACAGGGGGTNAGGGGGTGTGCCATGGACAGGGGGTGTGCCATGGACAGGGGGTGTGCCATGGACAGGGGTTGTGTCTGAAAAATAATTTGCCTTCTCTGAGTTCTTCAGTTCAGAATGCTCTGACCTTTCTTCTCATGTTTTCTACACATCATTCTGATAATATATGGCACAGCTCTCTGTCTCTGTCTACAACTTGATTGTTTCATGGCTCCATGGCTGTCTGGTATTTGTCCCTAATGTAACTGGCTGACCATCAGTGAGGTAATAACCTTCAGTAGGATAATTTGTCACACACTCATTGGTGGACTGAATGATCTGTTTACTCTGTATAAATGTTCATCGAGGCTGCCTCGTTACACATTTTTGTCTGACACTGCTCTGCGTTGCACTTTGCCTAACACTGCTGCTGTGAAAGCTTATGTGTCTTGCATATGCAAATAAAACACGACGACCATTTCTATGGAGTGTCTTTATATTTTTGATCACAATGTTTCTGCCTTTGGTAAAATAAAGAATTCCACAACAGGGGCTCAACAGAATTCTCCCAGTTCACCCCTACTAAACATTTGGGTTTACCAGGCCTGTCTGGCATCCTCTCTCACCACTGGATCCAAATCACCACCATATACTGTATGTATGTTTGCCCACTGTGATTTTTCTATTTTTATTAGTATTTATTTTATTATTGATTTTTGTTGTTGTTTCTTTGTTTTGTTCCATGTTGTTTTGTGGACCAAGAGTTTGTAATAAAATTTGATTAGTGTCCAAACCAACCTGACCCTGTGTGAAAACTTAACTGATGTGGTTGTCCCACCTTTATTGACTAAAACTGCAACCAACCGTAAAAACTAGCAGAGTTTTCATTTGGCTGTGGAAGAATTTTAGTGCTTTTAGTGAGCGGACAGATGTTGGGTGTGTGGTCCTGTGTTTTGTTGGTGTATATTTAATATACTTCTAATCGCTTTTTCAATCTTTCTATCTTTCTAGTTATGTCTCTCTCTGTTTTTCTCTGTCTCTATTTTCTCTTCACTTAAAAAAAGTCACTGATGATGAAGAAATAAATAAACTAAATAAACTAATATTTAGTTTCGTTTTCTTCTGAAGTGACAAAAAGAAAAAAAGAAAAAAAACTGAACAGTTCTTGGAAGCCCAAGTTTATATTAGCTTATAAGAAACACTGACAATTATTCTGAAAAATAATCATTTGAAATGAAACTCCTACAACCTCAAGGTATTTATTGTTTAAAAAAAGCGGTCTCCTAAAAAGTCTTTGAGCATTAAAAAACACTACAGACTGAAAATTAATTAAAAGTATAAATCCTGAGCGTTCATAATAACATATAACATTTGGCCTCACATTCAGTATGAAATAAAAACTTCTTGTGTCCTGAAATCAGTTTCATTTAAAGCACACCAACATATGCTGAAAGGACTAAAAGCAGCGTTTTTGAGAATCTATAATATCGAACTGAAAACACCCACAGATTGCACAAAGCACAAGAATTATGCTCAGAATGGGAAAATAATATAGATTTAATATTCTATTCTAAACAGCAGCAGAACCACAAGTGTTGTAATATTGAACCAAACTACCTGCACTTAGATTAAAACATCAGTTTCCAGACACATACCTGGGTCGTTGGTGACAGAACCTTTGGCATTTTTCACATCCACAACCCAGGTGGCCTCGCTCCCATTGGGCCCGTCCTTCACTTTAAAGGCAAACACTCCACCCACCTTCTTGACGAGCTGCTCTCCTTCCTGCAAGAAAACCACGGGACGTCTGAGCTCTGATGTGTTGTTGACATGCAGCGGGTGCAGACAGACGTTTACTGCTGCAACACTGCTCATCTGTCGTGTGAAACGGTGCAGAAGTCGAACCATTATCACATCAGTCTCAGTGAACTGAACAACTCATTTTCTGAGAACTGGTGGGACCAAGATCAGACTGAAAAGAAGTTTAGTAGGATGCTGCTGTTACTTTACAGTTATAAAACTCTAAATTTGTTGATCATTACATGTCTGCAGCTGTCAATCTGTCACTTTTGGACCACTTTATTTATTCTTTTATAATGGTGCATCGGTTCATTGAGGTTTGCTGATTTTGTTTCTTATTGGCTCTTTTAGGGTCCCACCACAGCGTTTCAGTTTAAGTCTGTGTCCAAAATGGGAGGCCGGGTCCTCCGAAGGATGGGGTAAGGACGGGAGGCTAGAGCAGTGGTTCCCAAAATTTTTATCTTCTGACCCTTTTTCTTCTGACCCACAAAATATCCATGGCAAAAACTTGTGACCCCAAATATTACTGGTCTGAGGACATGAACTTTGTTAATAACCCTAAAAACACAGGCTTTTTGACAATCTAAGCAGCTTATACACAAATACAAATACTTATTTTTACTTATTTTGTGTTTTTGTAATAATTATAGGGAATATATTACATCAGCAATTATTTTATTACCCTTTAAATTGATTTCTGGAGATTATCCAAGGTGCTTCATGACCCATAATTGGGTCCCAAGCCCAACTTTGGGAACCAAGCTAGACCATTCAAATTCACAGCCAATTTTGTCCGGTCTTCATGGTCTACCAAGGACCTGGCCCACCTCGACTGGGAAGGACCCCGTTTTGGACACAATGTAAGGTTCTGGACTTTGGGCAGTAGAGTTTATATCAGACCTAAAAAATCCAATCTGACAAATTAACTCTTATTAGAGGTGAGATACTACAGAAGAGGATTAGAGCCACAGAGCAAAAAAATATATTATTTTTGCCTGAGTTCTGACTATTTTTCTTAGAATTCTGAGATTAAAGTCAGTTTTCTGACTTTTTCTCAGAATTAGGAAAAACTTAGCCTGGCCCTTGCCTTCCTACGCAGCTCCACTCAATTCTAGTTTCACTTCACTGCTCCGGCTGGGGTTTCTCCCATAGACAAGGATTTCTTCAGGAAAATTTTGTTCGGGCCAATCAGAGAACAGAAGGCGGCGTTTTGAACGACAACATTGATTTTCTACGCAGTGTCTGCTAGTTAGTTTAGCATACGGCAGTGGAGGAAGTAAATCAAGCCAGTCTGTATTGATAAGGCTTCCAAATTAAATTAAATTTGTCTGACAAAGCAGCAGCTCTCATTTACAGTCGTCTCGTTCAGCTCAGCACTTTTCTCCTCTCAGTAGGGTTGTTTACAGCACACGTGATTTCCAGGTAGCTTCTTAGCTTAGCCTCCTTCACAGTGGAGCTGGTACACATACGTCATCGCCAACCAATCCAATCATTTTAGACTCCAGCAGAGGCCACGCCTCCAGCAAGAATCACTTAATCTCAATAACAAGTGGCTGGTTTTAACCAGGCTAGGAAAAACTCAGAATTCTGACTTTTTTTTCTCATTTTGAATTTAAAGTCAGAATTCTGAGTTTAAAGTAAAAATTCTGATGTTTTTTTCCAGAATAAGGAGAAAGTCAGAATTCTGAGAAAAAAAGTCCTTATTTTGACTTTCTCCTAATGCTGAGATTAAACTCAGAATTCTGAGATTTTTTTTCAGTGGCCCTAATATTCTGTTGTATGAACCCGACATAAAGCAGATATATTATTGTAATCTTTTAGTGCCTTTTGCTTTAGACCACCATTTGACCCAAGGGCAGCAGGAGGATTAATCAACACATTAGATACCTTCCCTCTTAAATCCTGAAAAAGCTACTGGTGAACTTTTTGGTTTTTTTTAAACATTTTTTTCTTTTTATTCTGTCTCATCTGTCACACTGTTTACAGTTTGAGTAAATTATAAATTATGCTTTAACTTGTACTAAACAGAAGTTAAGTTTCATCCCACTGTGCACAGGTCTCCACCTCATCAGTGCTGACTTGTTTATATTTCAGGTTGTGTTCTTCCCTTCATTAAAGCAACTTACTGGTTAAAAAACACCCACATATTGGCTCATTGCTAAAACTCAGAGAACTCTCCGAATGATCAGTTCACTCTGAACAAGTTCGAGAAACATAATCTGAACTCGGCTGCAGCTTCCTTTCAGAGACGCTGACTTTCTGACATGAAGGAGAGCAGGAGTCCAAAAGTGCATGGGTGATTAGATTTCAAACAACAAAGAATATTTATTGTGATAAGAACATGAGATCCTGAAGCGTTTAACAAAGAACTCCCACACATCGCTTCTGGAAAATTATATTAAATAAAAAGAAAAACTGGATGTTTTGTTTCAACAGTGGAATAAACTGATGGCATTTATACAATTTATCAAAGGTGGGACCAAGTCATTGCTTTACAAGTCTCAAGTCTTCATCCTCAAGTCCCAAGTCAAGCTTCAAGTTAAGACTAAGAGTCTGAAACTTGGAATTTCAAGTCTTGGAGTATTTTTGTTTTTAACAATGTTGCAGTAATTTATTAAATGTAAACAATGAACCACGTTCTTTTTAAAATATGTATTCATTTCAAATCGTGATAAAACGTGAAGCTGAACTTTTAAAGTTGCACGTCTATGTTGTACAGTTCATTTAAATTTAGTCTTCCTTTAAACAATAATTTTCCAGAATAAACAATCAGTGAAAATGACAAAAAATGCTGACATTTCCACGGTATAATTTAGCATAATAGAGATTATTTTTCTTCTTCTTTCTGCACACTTTTCATTCAGTGGTTGATTTACTTACCCTTTTTGTTGTTTGTCTTTGTTAATGCACTTTTTGTTGTTTTTTTAAGAATGAAATAAATGAATTAATAATAAAATAATAATATTATATTACAAAGAACCATAACAGCTAATTTATTTACTCTCCTCTCTTATCTGGTCACTTAGTGCAGGGGTTCTCAAAATGTTTGGGTCTGTGGACCCCTTACAGGGGTAAACAATTTACAGAAACTCCCTCCATTTCAACCCCTAAATGTCACGGAAGCAATTATTTTAGTTTCATTTATTTATTTATTTTTACTGGCGCATTGTTTCCCGTTTGTATTTACGCATTTTTAAATGATATAACATAATTAACAATTTGTTGCATTTTTTGAGGACCCTTAAGCTATGGCTTGCAGACTCCATTGAGAACCTCTGACTTGGTGAGCATCTGTTTTGTATTATTTATTTCTTAATCTGTAAACAAAATGTTATGTTTCTGGTTTTAAAAAATCATCTTGGTGTCAAAACCACTAACTTATCTAAAAACAGTCTCATTCTTGTGATTTAAATTATTTTTAATGAGATGACATACAGACTGGGGTTTTCTCCGGTCATATGTGCCGCCCCCTCCTCTACCTGTAGCTGTCAGTCAGCCCAGCTGTGTGGGATGATTGACAGGTAAGTACCCATCAAAACTTTCCATTTTATAAAACAACGTTTAAAAATGTTTTACGTTATGAAGCCAGCAGACCCGTGGTCCTAAATCCTGGTCCACGAGGGCCACTTTCCTTCATGCTTTAGAGGTTTCTCTGCTTCTATAAAGGAGTGATTACAAGGCCTCTGCAGAACTTCTAAAACATGCAGGATAGTCAACGCTTGTTTACTAAAGGCGTAACACTTGACAGTGTTTTCAAATTAATAGATTTGAAATCAAAATTTGCAGCAAACTACAAGTTTGCATGTACAGATCCTTCTCAAAAATTAGCATATTGTGATAAAGTTCATTATTTTCTGTAATGCACTGATAAACATTAAACTTTCATATAGTTTAGATTCATTGCACACCAACTGAAGTAGTTCAAGCCTTTTATTGTTTTAACATGTATGATTTTGGCAAAAAAAGTAAAGAAAAACCAAAAATCCCTATCTCAAAAAATTAGCATATTTCATCCGACCAATAAAAGAAAAGTGTTTTTAATACAAAAAAGTCAACCTTCAAATAATTATGTTCAGTTCTGCACTCAATACTTGGTCAGGAATCATTTTGCAGAAATGACTGCTTCAATGCAGCGTGGCATGGAGGCAATCAGCCTGTGGCACTGCTGAGGTGTTATGGGGGCCCAGGATGCTTCGATAGCGGCCTTAAGCTCATCCAGAGTGTTGGGTCTTGTGTCTTAAGCTCATCCAGAGTGTTGGGTCTTGGGTCTTAAGCTCATCCAGAGTGTTGGGTCTTGTGTCTTAAGCTCATCCAGAGTGTTGGGTCTTGTGTCTTAAGCTCATCCAGAGTGTTGGGTCTTGGGTCTTAAGCTCATCCAGAGTGTTGGGTCTTGGGTCTTAAGCTCATCCAGAGTGTTGGGTCTTGTGTCTTGGGCTAGAGTGTTGGGTCTTGTGTCTTAAGCTCATCCAGAGTGTTGGGTCTTGTGTTTTAAGCTCATCCAGAGTGTTGGGTCTTGTGCCTTAAGCTCATCCAGAGTGTTGGGTCTTGTGTCTTAAGCTCATCCAGATTGTTGGGTCTTGGGTCTCAAGCTCATCCCGAGTGTGTGGTCTTGTGTCTTAAGCTCATCCAGAATGTTGGGTCTTGTGTCTTAAGCTCATCCAGAGTGTTGGGTCTTGTGCCTTAAGCTCATCCAGAGTGTTGGGTCTTGTGTCTTAAGCTCTTCCAGAGTGTTGGGTCTTGTGCCTTAAGCTCATCCAGAGT